GCCTTAAAAATGGAGTAAAGGGATGGGGGAGGGAGGGCGCGTCCATTCTCATTCAAAATTCCGCGAGGAGGAGAAAAACTTTTGGACAAAGGGCCGAGGACGGGAAGAAAGGGAGATAAATTATTCAAAACTCCCTGCTGTTAGATAGTTTTGTAATATTATCGGAGCGGCTGCTGCAGAAAGGCAGAGCCGTTGGACGCTGCAAAATGTTGCTGTGATTTGGGAGAGGGGCGATGCTCATTTGCAAATCGGGGCCATTGTGTCGGCCAGAAGCTCCCCCCGCTCACTTTCGGGGTGTTTTTGATTTTATTAGAGGAGGAAAAAGGAGATTTGGGGGGGTTTAAGTTGTGTTTTCATCCAGGCTCGCCGCTCGGGAAAAATATCTTTATTTTTGAAAGCGCGGGTTGGGTTTTTTTTTTTTTTGCTCCTGTCCTCGCGGTTTCGCTGTCGCCACCCCTAAAACAACAACAAAAAGAAAATAAAAAAAAATAAGAATGAAGGAGCGGGGAGCTTTTTATCCCTGATTAGCACGCAAGAATTGCGTGTCAAGAGGCAAAACAAAACGCTCCCTTCTGCCTTCATGGGTGAGGCCGCGGACAAATCAAACACGAGCCCCCGTTCCTGGATGAAAGGGGGCTAATTTGGGCAAATTCCCGCGGCCGGAGCCTGTGGAGCGCCGCGCTCCCTCCGAGAGCGCAGAAATCCCAATTTCTCCGCAATTCCCGGGTTTTTATGGCCGCGCCGAGCAGAAATCCCCCCTAAAAACCCCGTGAATTTTGGGGGTTTTTTTGGGGGGTTCCTGCGCATCTCCAAGAGGAGCGTCCGAAATTCCGAATTTCCCGCTGCCCCGGCGGATTTTAACGCCTGGGAAAGTTTTAATGGCCCCAATTAAGATAATTGATGAGGCCGCTTGTAAAGCATTGGCAGGCGGCGGCTGCGCGCTGGGAAACGCCGCGATTTCGGCTGAGGGAAAAAATCGGAATTTCTGCTCAAAAAAACCTCAATTTCTGCTCGAAAAAACCTCAATTTCTGCTCTTAAAACCCGCGATCTCTGCTCGAAAAAACTCGCGATTTTTGGTCGAAAAAACCGCGAATTTTGCACGAAAATCGCGCTATTTTTGCTAGAAAAACTCTCAATTTTTGCCGGAAAACACCGCGATTTTCTATCCCGCAATTAAAACCCCTTCCGAGCTGTTTCTCCCACCACCCAATTCCCATTTCCAGGTGATTCCCACTAAAACCAACCCAACCTCGCACTGCTTGAGGGAAAGAGAGGGGGGAAAATTTTTTCTCCATTTCTGCGCCCAACGCGACTTTTCCCTCGGAGAGCTGCGGGGGGAAAAGGGTCGAAAAAAACTTTGGTTTTGCTTTTTTTTTTTATTATTTTTAATCTTTTTTATTTTTTTTTTCCAAGCGCTCCGTGGCGGGTTCTCCTCGCGGGGAGCCGGGGGAAGACAGCCCTAAATGCTCTCTCTTTTTAAGTGGGAAAGAAAGCTTCCACCCTGCGCCTGTTTCTTTCTATCGTCTGCTTGGCATTTAATAATGTTAAGACTTATTAGAGCTGGTAATGAAAACTGTGGCTGTTGAATAGGGAGCTGTGTTGGAGAAGGGTGTAATAGCTCCAAGGCATGCTAAGAAATGTATTTATCCCCAATCAGTACTCACTCTCTGAGTTCCCAGCACAAACGTTAAGTTGAAGGGTTTTAAGGCAGATTAAATTGAGCCTTTATTTCTTTGCACTTTCATCTTTAAACGGCTCACTCCAGCTAGCCCTGGGCGGATATTCATGAGGCTTCACTTTGGTTTTTTTAAA